TTTTTTCTCTCTCTCTCTTGTATTTATATATTGTATACGATAAAATATTTTTCCATATATATTATTTAAAAAAAAAAATAATTTTTTTTTAAAAATAAAAAATTTATTTATTTATTTACTTTTTGAACTTGTAAAAAAAAATTATTGTCGTATCATGTTATCTTAGAAATTTTCGCGCTTATGATCATTCTCGTATGTTTCGTCTTGTCTTGTATGTATGACCATTCTCGTATATCTCGTATGTATATATCCTCATTTGTATTTGATCATTCTGTATATCTCGTATGATATATCTCATTTGTATTGATCATTCTCCTTTCGGGTCACCTATAATTATCATATTTATGATTATCATATCCACTATTAACATTCGTAATGATCAAGGGTTATAAAAGGAGAAATATTAATGATCACTATTATAACATCATAACCATACGTAAGGATTTACATGGGATTTCAGAATAAGCCACGTTTTTTCATTTTACTTAATGGATTCATATAGTTTTGTATAGATCTCCGTCAATTGACATATTGCGCCCCAAAAAAGATTTCTATCGTCAGGACAACTGATGGAAAAATGACTTTATTTAATTACAGGCATACATAGAATCTTTGGAGGCAACAATTTACACATTTTAGTTCAGATCATTAACAAGATTACGTCAAATACAGATCACAGGATTCAACTAAAAAAATAAGGGATTTGTACTTGATAAAGTTATCAGTGACAGGAGTAATAACTTGTCATAGTGTTTATAGTAAGATAATGGAACGCACTTCATTACCAAATATAAAAAAAAGAATGAAAAGTTACTCAAGTTCAAATATTGTAAAATTTTAAATTATTGTAAAATTTTAAATTATTTAATTGTAATTAACTTGTAATATATATAATATTGCAAATTAATAATTAAATTAATAAATTTAAATTATTAGTTGTAATTTAATTAATTTAATTCCAAAATTTTGTAAATATATATAATATTGCAGATTTAAAAAAATCAAATAATTACATTTTTTTTATATATATTTAAAATCTAATTAAAAACAATTTTATTTTTAATATTTAAAAATCCAATTATTAAATTGTTTAATCTTTTTATTTTTATTGCTGTTTTCTAATTACTGTGATCTAGCATTATTTAATAAAAAAAAAAAAATTTTGAGAAAATATGTGAAAATAAAAATTTTATTGCATTTTCAAATAAAGGAGGTTTGATTATAAGCTAAAATTATAATTTTAAGAAAAAATTTTCAATCTTTAAATAAGTTTGCTTATAAATAACTTTTTAAAAAATGATTTGTTACACAAAATTTAAAAAGTTACTTATAAGTAAACTTATTTAAAAATTGAAAATTTTTTCTTAAAATTGTAATTTTCAGCTTATACATATCTCTTTTATTTGAAAATACAATAAAATTTTTATTTTCACATATTTTCTCACAAATTTTTTTTTTTATTAAATAATGCTAGATCACAGTAATTAGAAAACAGCAATAAGTAATTAAAAAAAAAAATGTCAAAATGACAAAAAATTACCATATGGTAATTATCATTATATCAGTATTAGCAAAGTATTAGCAAAGTATTAACAGGTAGAATTTCATGATATTTTTAATTCTACTTAAATTTCTAAATGTATCCCAAATTCTGGTAAAAAACAATTATCAATGGTTAATATTTAGCAATATTTATTAAAAAACACACAATTTATCTTGTATATTGTATGATATTTAAATAATAAAATTATAATAAATTATTTAATTTTTTTTTTTTTTTAATAAAGTAATAAAGTTTTATTATAAGAAATCTTTTTAATATTATTAAATTTTTGATATTAAAAAAAATTGTATTTAAGATTGCTGAAAAAACTAGAGGTTTTAGCAAATTGGCAAAATGTTGAAATAGTAAAATTTTGCTAAAACTATATAAAAAAAGTCATAGTTAAAAAGTTGGCAAAACTTTGGAAAAAAGTAAAACCTGATAAAGCTTAATATAATTATTGAAACTGCTGAAATCTTACTGAAATTATAATAATTAAAATCTTGGAAAAACTAATCATAAAAATTTGGAGAGGTTTAACTTTTAAATAAGCAACCTTAAAACTGAAACACCTTTTTTCTTTTGAATATTTATTGTAAAATCTATTAATTTTTATTTATTATTTAAATTTTAACTATAAATATAAAATATATATATATATATTTTTTTTTAAAAAAAAAACAGAAAAGAATACTATATTAATATATAGTTAAAATCATTTATTTTTTTAATAAAATATTTTATAAAATTTAAATAAAACTATTTAATATTTTATAAATCCAAATATTTAATATAATTTTAATAAAAATTAAACCAACTTGTTTATTATAATAATTTTTACTAAAATAAATAAATTAAATTTTACAATTTACAATTAATATTAATAAATATTAAATTAAATTAAATTAATTTGATATCAAATTAGTTTTAATTTTACATTTATTAAATTTATTAATTAGTATTAATAATTGCAATTTTTGATATCAATTTTTATAATTTATTAAATTGGCTTATTGATTAATTAATAATGATTTAAAGGTTTTATTTTTTAGAAAATTTCTAAGTTTACATGGGGTGTTTGTACACAGGTCATATAAATATAATTTTTAATAGACTAATTTTTTGTTTTTTAATTTAAAATTGAATGCTACCGACATTATACTCTTTTACTTTTTATTCTTATTATATTACAGATAAATATATGTATTTTCACCTGCTCTGCAAGTTTACTTAAGGCATTAAAGAAGGTTTTGAATGCCATTTTTAATCTACTAATATGACCCGTATTTAAACACCCTGTGTACAAATAGAAATTGCCTATTTTTTATTATATCTATAATTTATTATATATTTTATAATTCTTATTATATAATTAATTTTAAATTTATTAATATAATGTTGCCAAAATTTTTGCTTAAAAAATTAATTAAAATTATTGTCATAGAAATAATTGAAAATCAAATAAGTCACATAATGTAATAAATAGAAATTCCATAATTATGGCTAAGTTTATTACAATATAAAACATTTCCTATAATATATTTTAGTTTTATTAATTACATTAATTAATCACTTTTAGTATTATTATTGCTTTTGATTTATAAATATTCAATTATAAGTATCAGTTTAATTATTACAATATTAATAAAATTGCTTTATTAGTTAATTAAAGAAATTTCTTGAGATTTACATAGTTGATGAATTATATATAGTCATATGGAACTTATACAAAATAATAATAGAAAGGTTTTTACAAATAATTGCAATAAGAAAAGAACAATTAATTAATTAATATGCAATTAATTAAATAATTATATTAATATTAAAATAATATTGATAAGTTCAAACTGTTATATATGAAAATGTAAACATATATAAGGTAATATTTTTTTTGGTAAATCTAACAAATAGTATTATCTGAAATATTATTTTTTTGTATGAGTTAATTGTTAGTTTTTTTGCAGTAAACTTTTTATGTGTTTTACTTCTTTTACCTTTGTATTTGTCATAATTTGTTTAATAGATTTTTATTTTTAAAAAACCCTTATATTATTTACCAAAATTATACTTTCATTATTAATTTTTTATTGGAAATTATTAGTGATATAAAGACCCTGCTTACTCTAAAACAACTTAGTGTAATATTTTCTTTTTTAGGTATAATTTATTTATATATAATAAGATCTTTAAAAATTCTCAATTATAAATTTTACTTTAGGTTTTCAGTAACTTATTTTATAAGTAAATAAGTCCTATTAGGGTGTGCGATATTAGTTTAATCACAAATATAGTGCAATTATTATAGTAAACATCCTTATTAAGGATTTTTCTTGTCGATCATCTGTCAATCATTTTATAATTTATTAATATTTTAGAATCTTGGATTTAAATCATTTAAAAAATTTAAAAAAAGAGTTTTGGATTTAAAATTTTCTATTTAAAATCAGGTTATCGGTTAATTTACAAATGTAATGCATTACTATAGTGATCATTACTATAGATTTTTATTAAAATATAATAAATTACTAGTAAAACTAAATTGCCCATAACTTTATATGCATGTTTAACTCTCCATTTTTAGCAACTGTTTATGATATTAAAATCAAGTGTACACATACTAATAGAGCCGGATTTCTTGAGTACATATAAATTTAGTTGTAATAATCATGTTGTAATATTTCACAGCAATGTAAACTTTTATTTTTTTTTATTTTATTGTTCAAAAACTGGCTCTATTTCATTAAAATACGACATTTAAAATTTCCAAAAAAGTTGTTTTTGGAGGCTAGCATCTACTTACTATAGTGCCAACAGAATATGTTTCATATCTCAAAGAGTA